TTATATTATTTTTGCTTCCCTTCCCTTCTGTTCATCTGTCTTGTCTCTTAAAGTCCTCATATGAGTGAAGTCATATGATGTTTGTCTTTCGCTGACTGACTAGCATAATCCCCCCAGTTCCATCCACGTAGTTGCAAATGGCAAGATTTCATTCTTTTTGATTGTGGTCGGCAAGTTCTCAAACAAACCGCTGCAGGTTCAGTTAGGATCGTCTTCATTGGCAGAAATGTGGAGACAGGAAATAGAGGCACTTACCTTGCCACCCAGATACTTTACATCTTTTTACACACTTGGTTTTCATACTTAGTTGTTGTTGGGGGGGGTGATTTTTTTTTCCTATTGTGATTTAGTTCTTTTATATTTTATTTTCGAATAGGCTGATGCTGGTACATAGAAAACTATTTTGAGGGCACCTGGGTGGCTCGGTCAGTTAAGCATCTGACTTCGGCTCCGGTCATGACCTCATGGTTCGTGGTTCGAGCCCCTTGTTGGGTTTTGTGCTGACAGCTCAGAGCCTGGAGCCTGCTTCGGATTCTGTGTCTCCCTGTCTCTCTGCCCGTCCCCGGACTCATGCTCTGTCTCTGTCTCAAAAATAAATAAAACATTAAAAAAAAGAAAACTATTTTGTGCAGAAGGGCTACTGAGCCCTTTCTCATTCAAATAGTTTTTTAACTGATTATTTTTGGTTTTCTGGCAAATAATAATTCTCCTCCTTTCCAATATTTAAATATACCGTCTCTTCCCGCACTGACCACCGTGGCCAGCGGTCACGGGGCGATGCCGTGTAGCGGTGGTGATAGGCGGCCTCCGGCTTTTCTGGGGATGGCTCTGGTGTGGTGTGGGGTGTTGATTTGGGGTAGAGCATCCCTTTGTTTCTGTTTTACTGAGGATTTTAAGCTTTATTATTGATAAAATTACTACTTAAAAATATTTATATTTTAGTGACCACTTTAAAAATTCAAGGAGTTTGGGAGCAGGTGAAGTGACAAGTGAAAGCTGGCCCCTTCTTCTCGCTCCTATCTGCCCCCAACTCGCAGGGGCCAACAGTGTAAATGTGTGGTGCACATTTTGGCCTTTTTTCCTGTGTCCATACACCCGTCAGGTCATAAATGTAGCTACCAACTTGACAAAACAATTTTTTTGCCGATTAATATGATTCGTAGTCACAGATTTTCGAAGGGTTAGTCCAACGGCGTATTCCTGGCTTAAATCCTACACGGTCTGAATGTGTCACTCTCTCAATACCGTGGGACTTGATTTACCAATATTTCATAAGAGTTTTGCATCTGTGTGCGCGTCGTTGGTCCCTTTTGGATGCCACCCGTCGGGTTCTGCGAGCAAGGTTCTTACTCGGTTTCTAAAATGAACGGGGAGGCGCCTCCCCGACTGCTCCGTGCTCCGGGGACTTGAAGCAGCACAGGTGTGACTTGTGCCCCGGGGTCTTAGGACAGGGCCAGCATGCCCTGTACTGGGACGGGGTGACTGTTCGGTTTCCCCACAGTGATTCAGCCTTCCAAATTCTGAGTTTGGCTTAGAAAAAATAAGTAAATAAAATAGCAGGGTCACCTTAGTCCTGGCGTCAGGGCAGGAGTCGGCCCTCCCGCCCCAGGGGACACCGCAATCTGCCAGTGCTCGGCCCTCTCCCCACCTTCCTGGTGGGGTGCCCCTGGCGGGCAGGCAGCTGAGGGCCAGGTGGCCTTGCTAATGCCATCCTCCCTGACCCCGCAAGTGTGAGGACAGCAGGACAGCCCCCATTCGCTGATGGGGAGGTCCGTGGGGGTCCGACCTCAGTCTGCCATGTGGCTTGTGCTGCGGCCACCCTGCATGCCTTTGGAGGCGGAGGGCAATGCCCACGGCACCCAGCATCACACCCCACATGTCAAAGGTCAAGGGCAGGGTGAAATGTAACAGAAGTTTAGCATGTCTGTCAAGAACGCGAAGCCAGCTGTGTAAATTGTGATATGCAAGTGCTGGTTCTGTGTTTGGGGACAGTAAACAAGGACAGGTTTTTCCTCAACTCGGAGAGCGAGAGCGAAGATAGCCCTTGAATGCCCCTGGCGGAGAGTCCTGGCCCCATGCTGTCACTCGGGTATCTGGTGACGAGGGTCGGGCTTTGGGATTTCCCTCCAGCCCTGTGTTTCCCAGTGGTGGCGCTTCTGTGCGATTCCGGGACGGTCGTGGGGACTTGTGGCTGGGGGAGTGGCCTCATGGCGTCTTGCTCTGCGTTCACCCCGCCGGTGTGGAGCCAGGGCGGCCTGATAGAGACACCAGCATCCACCTCCCAGGGTGGTTGAGGGATTAAACGGAGTCATCCGCACGGGGGAATCGACCCAGAGCCTGGCACAGAGTGAGGACTCGCTAAACGGGGCTGGTGTTACGTGTGCACCGGGCGGGTAGTAAAGTGCTTGGCCGGAGAGGGCTGCGGGCCTGTTGCGGGGGCCTGGGGTGTGTCTGTGGGCCAGCCACTTAGAACACTGACTTTAGGGGAGTGGGCCAGGCAGGGCGGGGGCTCTGGGGGTGCTTTGGTCCAATTCCCAAGAGTCCTAGGCCCCCCGTTGGGTGGGTCACCCGCCTCAGCCCCTGGTCGGTGCCCCCTGAACTCGTCCCCCCATCTGGCAGCACGTCTTGGACACGATTTCATCTGACCTGAGCTGCATTTGTGTGGGGCGGGACTTGGGGGCTATTCTCCCGGATGTTAGGGGCAGAAGAGGACTGAATAATGGAGGATGGGCCTCCCCGTGAGCTAGCGGCAGGAGGTCCCACACCCTGGAGGGTCCTCGGGTCGGGTCGTTCAGGCCAGCTTGTGTCCTGGGGCCACCTGAGCACTGACCGGGCTGCGGGCAGGGCGGGAGGTGGGAGTGACTGGGGCCCTGGCAGGGCCTGCCTGTGGGCGTGAGGGCTGCCGGTGGCTATTCCAGAGACCCAACCCTCGGAGCCTGCTTGGGACCCAGCAGCAAACGGCCGGGGCTCGACAGCTTAAGGACTGGGGAGGAGGGGTAAATGCCCTGGATCTCCAGGCCTTCGTTCCAGCCACGTCCCTCGTACTTCCAGTTGTGTGGCCCTGGACAGACGGCTCTTAACCTCTTCAGGCCTCGGTTTGCCATGCTGAGAGCTGGGGGGCGCAGCTCACCTGTGTGCACAGCCGGGGGCAGAATTAATGGGGCGACACCGCTGGCATACAGAAGGCCTTTATGGGGCCCAGAGAGGGAACACGGAGACCTGGGGGTGGGGGACACGACCCGGTTATCAGCATGGGGGCCTGCTGCCTCCCCCCCCCCCAGGCCTCACTTCCTGCGCTCAGAACAAGGCAAGGGGGCCTGTGTGGAGCGGGGGGCTGGGTGCAGGTGGGGCAGCATCGGCTGAGGGGGACTCAGGGGATGCACACGCACCCCCCCCCCCCCCCCCCCCCCGCCCAGCTCTTTCCCTCTGCCTCCCTCGCAGGTTGCACGCACGGTTCTACGAGCTGGCCCCCAACCTCGTCCCCATGGACTATAGGAAGAGCCCCGTCGTCCACGTGCCCATGAGCCTCATCATCCAGATGCCAGAGCTCCGGGTACGACAGAGGCCGCTGCTGCTGGGCAGGTGGGCTGGGGGGCAGGCAGCGGAGGCACCCAGACCTGGTGGAAGCCGGCTCTGCCCTTGGTGGCTGTGTGGTCCTGAGAGGATCACCGGACCTCTCTGTGCCTGTTTCCTCCCCTGCACTCTCTGAGTAAATGAGCCACACGTGTGGGGACTGCATACGGGTGGTCAGTGCTGCCCTATAGTCCGTGTCACCTGCTTGCCCCTTTGTGACACGGCTGGTCATCTGTGCATGGCCGACATTATGTCTGCTTTTCTAGATTCCTCTGTCTCCCTGTCTGGCATTAGCCTCTCTAGCACGGCTATCCACACCATCACTTCTCAGACTTGAACGTGCACAGGGCTGCCTGCAGATCTTGTCAGGGCCAGCAGGTCTGGGCCAGGAGGTAAGGGTCAGCGGGTCAAGGTCGGAAGGTCTGGGCCAGCAGGTCTGGGTGAGCAGGTCAGGGCCAACAGGTCAAGGCCAGCAGGTCAGGGTCAGCAGGTCTGAGCCAGCAAGTCAAGGTCAGCGGGTCTGGGCCAGGAGGTCAGTGTCAGGGCCATCAGGTCAGAGCCAGCAGGTGTGGGTCAGCAGGTCAGGGTCAGCAGGTCAATGTCAGGAGGTCAGGGTCAGCAGGTCAGAGCCACCAGGTATGGGTCAGCAGGTCAAGGTCAGCATGTCTGGGGCAGCAGGTCAAGGTCAGGAGGTCAGGGTCAGAGCCAGCATGTGTGGGTCAGCAGGTCTGAGCCAGTAGGTGTGGGTCAGCAGGTCAGGGCTAGGAGGTCTGGGCCAGCAGGTCAATGTCAGGAGGTCAGGGTCATGGTCAGCAGGTCAGAGCCACCAGGTGTGGGTCAGCAGGTCAAGGTCAGCAGGTCTGGGTCAAGAGTTCAGGGTTAGGGCCAGCAGGTCAGAGCCAGCATGTGTGGGTCAGCAGGTCAGGGCCGGCAGGTCAAGGTCAGCCGGTCTGGGCCAGCAGGTGGGCACTAAGATTCTGTTTTGCAGCATGTTCCCAGGTGAGGCTGTACCTGCTGGACGCCACACCACATGGGTATTTGACACGAAGGTTTCATTTCACAAGCTCCTTGCCTGTAGTACGTCGAGGGCAGTCCCACAGTAGGGAAGGTTGGCATTCGGGGCACAACTCCACACAGCTGTGCAACTCTGCCAGCAGCCCCCTGCCAGCCCTTGGGTGTGTGTTCCCGGGGTCAGGGCACCACGTGGCATCCGCTCCGGCGCCTCTGTCCCAAGGGGTAGTGAGGCACCGGCCTGGCCACGGCTCAGAGGGTACCTGGAGGGGTGGGCAGTCTGGCAGCAGCCCCTCGGCTGTTCCAGAGCCTCCTGGGCTCGGCACAGAGTGGGGGCTAGGCTGGGGGCTCCAGGAAACATGAGCCCCCAGAGACCTGGGATCAGAGGGAGGAGTCGGGTGTAGCTCCCCGGAGGAGGGGCCCCCTGGAGCTGATCGAGGCCCGGGGTCTGACTGCTTGTCCAGGCTCATTTCTCCGAGCCTTTGGGGCCCCACTTCTGCCCGGCAGGACCCTGGCCTGACCTCGCATAGCCAAGGGCTGCCTGCGCCCTGGGCCTCCTCTTCTCCTCCCCATGGTGGCAGGCACCCCTGTGCACCCCTTGGGGCAGTGGGGAGCGCACCGTGGCCCTGCTCCGTGCAGGTCTGAGCGATGGGTGGGACACGAAGTGCGGTGCCTGGACTGGCATCCATACCTTCCGTGCTTTGTCTGCCCTCACAAACCAGTCACGCAGGTGTGGTGGTTCCCACTTTGCGGGTGGGACGGGGTGGAGGGTTGCTCGGGGTCAGGTCACTCGTCCAGGGTCACCCTGCACCCACGCAACCACTGTGGCTGTTTCCTCCAGGAGAACCCCTTCAAGGAAAGGATCGTAGAGGCTTTTTCAGAGGATGGCGAGGGCAACCTCACCTTCAACGACTTTGTGGACATGTTCTCCGTGCTCTGTGAGTCGGCTCCCCGTGAGCTCAAGGCAAACTATGCCTTCAAGATCTACGGTAGGGCCCTCGGGCTGCGTGCTGGTGGTGGTGCTCCCCTTGGGCTGAGTGCTGGTGGTGGGGGTGCTCCCCTCAGGGGCTGCGTGCTGGTGGTGGGGGTGCTCCCCTTGGGGGCTTCTGGTATTGGGGGTGCTCCCCTCAGGGGCTGCGCGGTTGGTGGTTGGGCGTTCTGGCCAGCGCCAGCTGGTGGTGGGGTGCCCAGGGACCCCAGCAGCCTGACCCAGGGAAAGATAGTGTGTGAGACCAGGGTCCTGGGGGGAGGTCCTGGTCTCCCCTGGGGGGTGTCCCTGACATGGGGTGGGCGCGTTCCAGTGGAGGAATGACAAGGACGTACAGGCTTGAGGAGGTGAGACGACCCAGGTGGTGTGTGAGCCCAGGGAGGTCAAGCAGGACAGGCTGTGAGGAGCCAGCCAAGGAGTTTGAATCTGCGCCCAGGACCAAGGGTCCACTGCAGGGTCTCAGGTCAGACGGTTCTGGGCTCTGGAGAGGTCATCAAGGTCCTGAGGTGTGAACTGGAGACCAGGGGACCAGGGGAGGGGAGGCGCCTCTGGCCAGGCAGAGAGGTTCCCAGGCTTCCACCACCCCTGGAGGTGGAGGTGGGCGGCCTGACTTCTCACCCCAGCCCAGCCTATGACAGTGGTCACACGGCCACCAGAGGCGCTGGTCCCCAGAGAGAACCTCATGAGCTGGGCCTGTCGCCGGTGGTCCTCATGGGAACACTGAGCTCCAAGGCTGGGGACCCATCGTGGACCAGAGGAGCGTAAGGCATCTCCTGTCTCAGCACCTTGATCAGCCAGGCCCCGGCTCAGGCTTTCACTTTGTTGGCCGGGGCTTGTCCATTTCAGAGGCCTGGCTCTGTCCACGCATGCACGCCTGTGTGCGCATTATCAGAAAGACACAGCAGCTGGTCTACCCTCCAGTCCCAGGGCCCCGGGACATCGGCCCCGGGGAAGGCTGTTGTCTTGGGGGGGGTGGGGGCAGTCAGGGCAGGGAGGGCAGCAGGCCCCTTGCTGCCTGCTTCTGGACAGAGGGGGTTTGGTGCTGGGGGGAGAATCAGGACCTGACTTCCAGCTAGGTCACACACACACACACACACACACACACACACACACACACACACACACTACTTTCAGCCTGCACGTAAAATGGGCACAGGAAAGCCAGCAGCCCGCATTCGCACAGGCTTGCTGGCTCTGTAAGCAGAGATGATCCCACCCCGCCTGTCCCAGAGGCTAAGCACGCGGGCAAGACGCCGTCCAGTGCTGACTGGGATGTCACTGCAGGACCCCAGTGCTCATCCTTGCACAATGGGGACTCTGCTGACCTGCCAATCAGTTTGTGTTTGGTGGGGGGTGAGGGGGCATGAGGCGGAACACGTGATGTCTCCCAGCAGCCACCCCTTCATACCGTCACGCCTGCGCGGCCCGTGCAGGGGCTCAGCAGAGGAGCCTGAGGTCTAGGAAGCCCCCTGAAGGTGGTGTTTGAGCTGAAACTTGAAGGACCAACGGGAATTTGCAGGACAGACAAGTGGGGGACAGTCTGGGCTGAAGAAGGGCAGAGCCATCTGGAGCCAGCTGAGACTGGGGCCCACGCCGGGGTCACTCGCTGCGGATCACATGCCTCTCTGAGCCAGCGGCTGTGCTGTGGGCAGCAGATCCATGCCCGCCTGCACAATGGCCAGCCTGGCCTCAAGGGCTTCTGAGTCCTGATGCCCGTGGTGCCGGGCGGTGCAGGGGGGGGGGGCACCTGCGGGAGGCTGCAGGGGTGCAGTTTAGGGAAGGGTGTGCTTACTGGCCAACAGGCTCGGCTGGCGGCCAGTTCCCCCTCCAAGCCACCCTCAGACCTGGATCTCACTTGGCCTTTCTGGGCCTCAGTTTCCTCCGCTCCAGGGGGGGGGGGGCACAGGGCCTGCTGTGGGGTGCGGCCGGGAGGTCCTGGTGTCCCCACAAGCCTCAGATTCAGACTCTGAAGTGTCTCAGACCAGGTTTGTACCTGTGGCCATTGTGGGGACTCAACAGGGTCATAGGTGTTGACTTGGCGGATGTGGTGTTCGTCTTGTGCCCCCGTGGCCCCCGTCGGCTGGGCACAGGGTCCGGGGGCCCCGGAGTGTGAACGGGCTGAGGGCCGTGGGGTGCCGGGCTGGACCCCTGGCCTGAGCACCTCCACCCGCCCCCAGACTTCAACACAGACAACTTCATCTGCAAGGAGGACCTAACGCGGACGCTGGCCCGGCTCACCAAGTCTGAGCTGGACGAGGACGAGGTGGTGCTCGTGTGCGACAAGGTCATCGAGGAGGCCGACCTGGACGGGGACGGCAAGCTGGGCTTCGCCGACTTTGAGGACATGATCGCCAAGGCCCCCGACTTCCTCAGGTGTGGCCCTGCGGCCGTGGCTGGGGGCTGGGGTCCCGGGGACAGCTGGGTGTCCAGCTTTCTGCCTGTCCTTGGGGTTGCTCAGTTGTATCCTCTGCACCCTCCCTAAGGGACCGTCCAGCACGGGCCAGGGGCCTGTTGGCGTTCCACCGAGGGGCCCTCACCCAGCCAGCCCTCCTCTCTTTCTAGCACCTTCCACATCCGGATCTGAGGACACTGCTGAGGGTGCGGGGCCCAGAAGCTGACCCTCTGGCTCTGCTGTCTACACGAGTGACCTCCAAGCTGCCCGGAAAAGACGCTGTGGCCTCTGGGGTCATACCAACATTTCCTTGGCCCTTTCAGCAAAAAAAATCCTTAACCAGGGAAGGGGGGTGTGAGGGCAGGGCCCTTCCCAGACCCCAGACCCCACCACAGGCCCTCCTCCGTCCCCCCCAAGCTCCCCAGACCCTCATCCTCTCCCCGCTGGAAATGGCTGCACCGAGCGGGGAAGGCACAGGCCTCGCGGGGCAGGGGATACGGACGCGTCCCGGTGCTGGGCAGGCGTCCTGGTCGCCCAGGGCAAAGTGAAAAATGAAAGAGACCAAGGTTTTATGAGCTGCGCGGTCCTTCTCCAGAACCCAGTGTGAAGCTGTGTGGACGCCGGGCAGAGGGCTCCATCCCTGTCCCCAGCGCTGGGCACCGAGACAGAATTCCCCAAGACAGAATCCTCACTGGTGCGTGCTGTCCACACACTGGTGAACTTCTGGGAGTAAAGCGCTTTTGCGTCCCTGTGCTCTGCCTGCCATCATTAGGACGTGCTCAGTGGCCCCTTTCTCCTGACCCTTGAAATCCCACGGCCAGCGCGTCACCTCAGGGCCAAGTGTTGCCCTCCGGCTTTGGGCAGGAACTTTTATTTCAACCTTTGTGCCTTTGGGAGGAAAACACATTGGTGCCCCGGATCCCCAAGGTGACAACCGTGTCCATTTCCCTCATGACCGTGGTCGTTCCAGTGACAATTTATGGAGCGTTTGCTAACCATGTGTCTGAATGGGGCTGCTGGTTGTACCCTTGTCCTGTAAGGCCCCTGGAGGGGGCCTCTCAGCGGCACAGGCCACCACAGTCCACAGGCATGTCCTGAGCCAGCTCGGGGACATGGGCGGGGGCCACGGCACTCCCTCTGGGGAGGGTCAGTCGGCTTTCTGCCTCCGCCGCCTGCTCAGTCTTACACGAGGGGGATGTGTGGGCAAGAGGGACCCTGTGGGCAGGGACCCAGGGAGAGCGGGAGACAGGAGCGCCTGCGTCCAGAGCCGATCGCCCGGTCGGGCCGCCCGTCGGGTCTGGGTCTCAGGGGACAGGTCTGAGAACTAGCCGGAGAGGCCAAGACCGGCCGGAGGCAGAGGGCAGGTGAGGGTGGCCCAGGCGTGCACCCGGCTGAGCCCCGCAGCCAGCCGGGCCCGGCTTGCTTTACGGGGGTGTGTGTACAGGCTGTCAGCGTCATGTCGGGCAGCTTCCCGCTCCCCTCCCGGCCTGGGATTTCCCGTCCGCGCCAGGAAGGGCTTGGGTCAGGGCTGCCCGGCCTGCATGATCTGGCTGGGATGAGCGAGGGGCAGAGAAGGGCCAAGGGGGGCTGCCCCCGGGAGCCCAGCCCTCCAGGGTCAGAACTGTTGCCTCAGGCCAGGGCTTCCCCGGCGTGGCTCCGGCCGGCCACCCCTTTCTGCTGACGGGCCACAGGAGGGAACCGGCTTGGGTCTCAGGAACAACCGCGTGGCCTTGCTCAGCCCGACAGAACGGCCGCCCCAGCGCAGGGCTGGCCGCGTGCTCGGTGACGGTCAGCGGGGTGGGGGGGAGGGGCGGGCCGGTCAGCGAGCCCAGGCCTCAGGGTGCTCACCTTGGGGATGGGGGTGCTGACCCTACCTGTGGTCAGTCCCCCACCTCCCGGGCCTCCACCCCTCTTGGGGCCAGTGGGGGGCACTGGGGAGGCGGGGGTGGGCCGCGGGCTCCCCGGGAAGCCCCCCGGGAAGTCCCCCGGCAGGCACTCCTCAGGCTCTGTGCTTCTTGTCTGTGAAGAAGATCCTCCGGTGCTTGTCGGGCTGCAAAGAGGGAGAAGATGCTGAAGCCCAGGGCCCCTGGACAGGGGGAGGCCCGGCACGGCCTGCTGATTGCAGACTGGGGCCCCAGCCCAGGGAAGGCCGCACGGTGCCCCAAATCCCACCTCCAGTCCCCGGTTCTGGATGAAGGGTCTGTCCCTTGTGGCTGAGGGGAGGAAGGGGTCTCCCAGAGCTGGGGTGCGGCCGGGCCAGTACCCGGGGAGGGGGGGTAGGGTGGGGGTGTCCGTGGCACCAACAGGGACCAGAGAGGGTGTGGGACTTTGCAGGGGTGGGGGGAGCTGCCACGGGATTCTAGAGGGCCTGCCCACGGGCAGGGTCTGTGGTCCCGGAGAGTCAGGGCCCTGCCCTGGGTGACTTGGGTCCCAGGATATGTGGGGTGCGGGTGGGGGGCACAGCTCCCAATCTACCTCTCACAGGCTCTGAGACCTCGGCAGTGGCCTGGACAGGGAAACCTGAGGCCCAGAGACCCCCCCCCCCACCTTACATTCAAACCGAGCACCTGTGAGCATATGACAGAGCTGGAAAACTCTGGGTCCCTCCGGGCAGTAGCAGTGACCTGAGCCGCTCACGCATGAGGGCCACAGGTCCCTCTCACCAGCAGGGGCTGGCGGCCACCCCCTCCCACCACGGAACCCACCTTGTGTGTCCGTCCAGTCTCCTTGCTCCTGGCTGCTGGGATTTGTTCATAGGTGTTTCTGGGCTCGGGGAGCCCCGGGGCCCCCGAGAGGCTCTCGTAACCATAGACTGTGGATCCTGGCAGCTTGCTGGACGGGGCGCCCGTTCCAGGACACGGGGGCCCAGCTGAGCTGCCCCAGCAAACTGGGGCCAGTGCCCAGGTGCCACCTTCCTGGTCCGGCACGTCGCCGGGCTCTGGTGGGGGACCTGCCGTCTGTAGGAGCTCGTAGGCGTCTGCCGGGCTGTCCTGGGAGCAGGGCTGAGCCCTGTGGCTCAGCTTTGGGGACGCCTGGCCCCAAGTGGCAGCAGAGGATCCTAGAGCCTCAGAAGGGGGGGCCGGGAGGTAGCCCCGGGAAGTGGGAGGCACCACAGGACCCCGGTCTGGGCTCACCCCAGAGAGGGCGGGCCCTGGGCCGTCAGGCCTGTCCCGGCCTCCATCCGAGCGTCTCCTCGGGGGCCCCTTGCCTGGGGAGCAAGCCAGGCTGCCAACCGGGCCCAGGCCGTGCCTGCTGGACACCTCCGCGCCCGGGCCTGGCCATGCCTGGTTCGTCTTCCTCAGGTCTGAGTAGATGATGTCGTTGGGGCTTCCGAAAGACTCGTCCAGAAGGAGGGCACTCCTCTCAGGGAGGGGAGGCACCCTGACAGGGACCTGGGGAGACAGGAGAGAAACTGGGCGTCTTGCAGGTGGCCTTGTCGCTACGATGCCCTCAGGTGAGCGGAAGACTGTCTCGGACAAGCTGAGAGCCCCGCACTGGCTCCGTCTACCTGCTGCGTGTCGGCATTCGTCGCCATTCGGGTCCCTGCCGCCCCCGTGCTCCTGAGTCCGGCCTCTGCCTTGGCATCCGAGGCCCGCCGTCGACGCCCAGACTCGTCCTGCCCTGTCCGCCCTGCACAGCGGGCCACTGGTCCCTCAGAGCCCCTGAGCCCACTCACGCGCCGCTGCCTCCCTCTAGAACAGACCACCCCCGAGTCCGTCATTTGGGTATCTATTCCACCAACATTTACTGAGCAAACTGTGTGCCACACACTGTCCCAGGTGCCAAGGACTGCGTGGCGAGCGTTCCCACTCTAAGCTGGGAGACGGGCAACGACCCACCCTGTTACGTCATCTAATACGACTGACTCACGATAACAGGCCACGAGATGACTGACTGTCGGGTCAGGATCGGTGGGACGAAGAAGGGTGAGGCAGGGTAATGGGATGGGCACAATGACGGGTGGGCAGGGCAGCCTCTGGGCTTTCTGGAAAGATGGCATGCAAGCAGGGAATGGAGTGCGAGCTGCAGGCATCTGCAGGAAGGACATTGCAGCAAGGGCACAGCAAGTGCAAAGGCCCTGAGGTAGGAGCGAGGTTGGTGTGATCGGGGAAGATCCACAGGCCAGTGAGGCTGGACAAGAGCGAGAAGGGGGGGGTGTGCAGGAGCCCTGCTGAAGCCCCCACGGACCCTGGGGAAGGCCTCAGGCCTGGGGTGTGCTGTGATCTGTGTAGGAGGAAAACCTCCCTGAGCCCCTCTCAGGAGGTGAAGGCATCTCCCCTACAGTTTAGAGGAATTTTCAGGCATTTTTTTTGGTATATAAATTTTTAAAAATATTTTCGAGAGAGAGGGGAGAGGGAAGGGCAGAGAGAGAGAGAGAGAGGATCCCAAGCAGGTTCTGCACTGACAGCACAGGGCCAGATGCGGGGCTCGAAAACCCACCAACCGTGAGATCACGACCTGAGTTGAAGTCAGATGCTCAACTGACTGAACCCCCCAGGGGCCTCCTTTCAGGCATTTCTTACTCATTTTCTCATTCAAGCCTCAGGGGACCTCAGGAATGGTAAACTGAGGCACACAGCTAGAAAGACCCAGCCGAGGCTTGAACACATCCGGCTGGCCGGAGCCAGGCCCTGGCGTGGGTGAGCCCGCACCGCCCCGGGCCTGGCTCCCACACCCCGCAGCCCAAGGGCCGGGCCTGGGGACACGGGCACAGCCCCACCCCGAGAGGCTCCTCACCGCCATGCGTTCGTCCTCAGAGAAGCTGCAGGAACTCACGTCCAGGTTCTTCTTTGTGTGGAGGAAGGACACGGGTGGCTTTGGACAGGGGCAGGGGCTGGCAGTGTCGACTGGGCCCCTCGGGGCGGACGCCGTGGCAGGCAGATTTTCCAGGCCAGGGGTGATGGCATCGTACAGATCGCTGTCCTCCGGCTGGGGTGGTGGGGGCACAGCAGGCGTGTGGTCACGCACCCCCGGCCGGCCTCCAGCCTCCTGCCGGAGATTGCCATGTGCCCACCAGGCCCCTGACCTCAGGTGGGATGCTGCCTCGGTCTCCCCTTTCCAAACAGGGACCCCGAGCCGGCACCGAGTGCCCCTGGATGGTGGTGAGTGGGGAAGACGAGTGCAGTCATGTGCCCCCGCGGTGGACACCCCAGGCCTGGGCGCCCTGCCCCACCACCCCCACTCAGGAGGAGAGGGGTGCGTACCCGGGGGCAGGCAGCAGACAGGGTCTCCCCAAAAGGCTCAAACTGGACCTCCTGGTAATGGCGCACAAGCTCGGCCAGCGTGCTGTGGCTGCACGTGTCCCCCGAGACGA